GCTAATGATGCGCCTGCAAGACGCACAATTGAAATGAAATTAATTTTTCTACATAATTAATTAAAGCCAGCCGTGTGGGCAGCTTCACGGAGAAAGCCAATGCCACCTACACCAACACCTCCAGCTTCACGTCCACCTCCAGCTTCAGCTCCAACTCCTCCAAGCACTGCTCCCATTGCGCACTCGTATTATTAATTAGGCCAACAACCCCCCATTAGGCTTGTGGCTCGGTATGGTCTGCAGTTGTGAAATCTGAGCTCCTCCAACATTGCGCCTTGTCGCCGGTCGTAAAACTGATAAATCATAAATGTGCGACGACGCACAAAACAATTGCACTACAAAATGTGAAATAATCAAATTAATTTTCGTGTAATTAAATCATAAAATAAAAAATAAAAATTATAATGAAATCGTTTGCCAAACCCAAAACTCAACACAACTCGACGCAGACGGCACAACAATTGACACTGACATCAAAACAGAAAAATAGAGAAAAATAAAGCAAGCAAATAAATAAAAACAAAGACAAATAGCAAAAATTTCCATAAAAATTGTCTATCGATTTTATGACCGACTGGAAAACTTTGCTCAAGATAAAAAAGTGTGTCCCGAACGCTGGCGAAATTCGGTAATTCGATTGAAATTTGAATTCTGATTAGGTTTTGTGGCTGTAAACACAATTGGGCCAATGAGGCTACGTCATGATACAATTCAATTGGTTGCCTTTTAAGGCCAAAAAGTGTTTGCATACATGAATGCGCTTATCTGGAAATCAAAAGGGCTTAAAAGTCAATATCAACTGGCTATTCTTCGAATCCGAAGTCGATTTAAACAAGTTCTAAATTATCTAAATAGGTCTATTTGTTTATTTACCTAAAACTTCTTAAAAATTTGTTTAAGAAATGGGTTACTAAATTCATTCAATTTAAACAAAAGAAGAGGCCCAAGTTCTAAGTAATGCGAAAGCTTTTCCAAAGTGGGATAAGCTTGCTGTAGGAGGGTTTTCAGTGCCACACATGCCACATTGCGATGGCAGGGTGAGATGCAGGAGGAAATTTTCCATATCATAATAATCAGTATATTTCATTATTGTTGGTACTATTATTTTTATTATCAATTTTATTGTTCTTTTGATAATTATTATTTCTGTATATGATCATCATTATAATAATATTTACTATTTATTATATGCATAACCCTGGGATTCGAATCCGTATGTTCGTTATTTAGATATCCAATAGGTCTTTATTCTAATTCCATTGCTTCGTGATTTCTTGTTTTAAGCAGATGTCAAAATAAGTGGAAAAATTTGAAAAATATATTATAGATTCTTAGGTAACATATAAGCAAGCCCATTTCAGAGTTCTGCTCAGTTTTTCCTTGTGATAAAAACTACACATCCCCGGAGATCTCCCTGCTGACTGTACCGAACAGGTCTCAGGCTCAGCAATTAGAAGCAGTCTTTGCTTGTCACGTCCTGAGAAGCCTTTTAACCACTCGAATTTATCAAGCGGAACTTGCGGCCAGTCAAGAGTGGGTGATCGGTCGATGGGGCCCCGAAAATAGTTGAAAAACTGTGTTAGCGATAAGGAAATGTCAACAGTGCGCGGCGGGGCCACCGGCAAGCTTCAATTAAATGACAAGCCAAGGGTCAGCCACATAGATGGTGCCGCCAGCGATCCCGTCAAGCTGGCAGCTACTGGTTGATCCCAGGGCTACCAGAATGGCGACTGCTGCAATCTGTTCGCCTGTGTCTGCGGCTCAGTTTAATGAGCTTATCCATCATCGGGGGCTGATCCAGACACAGACAGAGTCAGAGACGGAGACAGAGACGCAGTCTCCTCATCTGTCACAGGGCTAATAGGTTTCATTAGTCATCTGTGCCGCAATCGGTCAGAGTCGATTTTTTGGCTGCTCTTCGCTTTTTATCAGCTGCTCGTTTGGTCATTTCTCAAAGCCGACAACAGAAGAAGAATTCCGAGCTGTTTCCCCTGGCTGGCCCCTTGGCTGACCCCTTGGCTGGCCCCTTGGCTTCTTGCAGTTTGCGTGTCGACAGCAATTTTCACCTTAATTATTTTTGGGGTTTCTCGCCAGGACGAGCGGGGCGAGCGGGGTTGGGTGCTGCCCAGCACGCGCTAATGTTTAACATCCGCCATGGCGTCCTCCCATCAGACAGTTATGCAAATTTCTAGCGTTTTACCTGTGTGTATTCGGAGGGAAAAGCCACTGCGAGGGCAGTTCGAACAAAGCGTGTCCTCGTAAATTATCGAAGACACACGCACACACACACAGGCAACACATCAGCTGAGTGTGAGTGTGTGTGTGTGCGTGTATTCATTTGTGCCAATGTCCTTTCGTGTCTGCTTTGCCATGGCCTCTTTTTTGTTGCCCGCCGCAGATTAGGCTGTCCTCCTGCTGTGTGTGTGCTTGTGTGTCCTATGAACCTACCCCGCCCCGTCCCGCCTCGCCCCTCTTTCTGCTTGTCATCAATATTGGCGCCAACTACAGCTCCGAGTCCGTGTCCGAGTCCGTAGCTGAATTACTGTGCGACCTGCGCTGCCATAAAATGTTCAATTAGTTAATGAAAAATTTTCCAATTGGATATCAACATTGAATCCAACTAACGACCGCAACGAGGACGAGCACGGGCTGAGCTCTGGGCTAGGGGTTAGGGGTTGAGGGGGGCTTAAAGAACGCGTTGGTGTCGCTTCCAAATGTCCGTAGCTTGAATTTATGCATGTGATTTATGCACGACTGCGATTGCCAATTACAATATCATTTCTCTTCTTGTCCGCTTGGCTTTGCCTTTGCATTTGTTCACTCCAGTGTGTGTGTGTGTGTGTGTGTGTGTGTGTGAAGTGCCATTAAGAAATGTGTCAAAACAGTTGAGGAATTATATAATTTAAATGCAACGCGGCATGAGGAACTCTCGTCTGCAGGCACAAGTTGGAAGAGAGAATGGAAAAAGTTAATTGAATTTCTTTAAGATCAAGATTTTATAAAATAATTCCATAAAATACTTTTTCAACTCAAACAGCAAGAGAAAATACTCAATATTGTGCGCAATTTCTATACATTCGTTATTTTAACCATTCGAATTGGAGCGGAACTATTTGAAGCTAGGCAAAAAGACGCGTGAGCCTCATTTGAGGGCCAAATGATGCTAGAAAGTCAACAGCTCTTTGTGCGAGTGTGTATTTTTCTTGCTCAGCAAACAGAAATTAAAGCCAAACATAGAAAAAAAAAGTACAGCAACAGTAGAACAAAAGCGTAGCGAGCAGGAAAAACCGACGCATGACACAAATTCACAAAAGGTGGAAAAACAAAAACGACAAAACGAAAAAAATCTACATGGAAATGAAATCGAATGAAGGCAAATGGGGGAAAATGAGCCAAAATGAGAACCTAAGCGTTATGCTCGCAGCGAAAAAAACACAGCAACAAAAACTCGCTGCTTGACCGAGCGCATCAACTTGCCTGATCAAAGGAGAGGGGGAGGGAACTGAACATAGGGCCTAGTTTTACGCATTTGAATGAACGCTGGGGCAGAGGGAAAAGGTGTAGGGGAGTGGGGGGTCAAGCAGTTGGGAAAAACAAAAGAAAAGCTAAGCGCAAAGTGCGGGAGTTTCCTGTGCGCTATGCGGCTCCAATGAAGCCTGAAATCGATTTGTGGAACCAGCTCAAACACAAACACAAACACAGTGCCTGCCAACAAGCACTCGCTCAGCAACTTGCCCCGTCAAGGCAATGAGGCAATGAATTAGAACGCGTGAAGTCACGAAGGTTACCTCCCTGCCACCCACATGAGGAATGCCGCCAGCTGTTGCCAACTGAGAATCCTCGAATTTACAACATGCTGCACAGTCTCCCCCCGCCCTCTTCCTTGCATCGTGTATCTGAACAGAACCCGCTCGACTTGGGATCTTTTTATTGTAAATTTACGATCGCCGCGTTTATTTGTTTCTCTCCGCTTTTTATTGTGCTCCGCTCTGAGCTGTTGCACCCTGCCCCCCTTCCCTTCCCTACGTTGGCCTCAGGTGGCAGCCTCACGCTTTGTGGACTCGCCTGCAGGCTCGCCAAGGTGTCAAGTGTTTTGTGTTATCTGCTGCGGTTGGCTTCTTGGTTTCTCTTTGAGGCCAAGAATCGAGTCGAGTCGAGTCGCGTCTGAGCTGGGCTGGGGACCGCAGCGGCCGCCGCTGCGTGTGTTTCTCAAATTGCGTCAAAAATTATCGCCATTAAATGTAGATGAGCGTTTTGTTGTTAAGTTATTGGCCCATAAATAACCGCGGCTTGGTCCCCAGTTCGCTCTGCACTTTGCTAGCAACAACAACAACAACAACAACAACAACAACAACTGCAACTCCAGCTGAAGTTCATTCATAAAATTTCATTTGTGGTCAGAAAGAAAAGCTGAAAAGAAATTTAACTTGCGGTCAGCGCAACACAAAATTGTCAGGACAAATTTAATTTTAATGCTTTTCCAACGGGATGCTTAATAACTGCGACTTATGCACCTTTAATTTGATTTTGCTCATTTCCACATGCTTGGAAAGCCATTCAAAAGAAAGTCTTTAACTTCCACAAGTCGCATCAAAATTTGCGTCTTAGACAAAAGCATTTCCCCAAGATAATGAAAAGTGTGACTATTTAAGAGAGATTTTTCTAGAGGAACTAAATAACAATAGTAATCCGAAGTGAAGAAAACCCGAACACAAAAATCACCCCGAAAATTGTTACCAATTCCGTGTCCCAGCTCCCGGAAAAATATTGGCAACATTTTGTTTAGCAGTGGACAGCTTCAAACTATTTTATTTAAAAAATTAATCCTAATTATAACTAAATTTATTATATTAACTAAATTTATTATATTTAAGCCTGAACTAATTTCCCAAATATCCTCGTCTTTATTTTTACAGCAATCAGCTTTGATGCGCAACACATTTTATAACCGTCGTCAGTCGTAAGCTGGATGATATTTGTGCGCCGTCTGTTGTTCGTTGTCGCTTGGTGCTTAACTTAGTCAAACTTGGCGTGCACGCCTTGACCAAATGGTGGCGCTGCATTAGTTTCCAGAAAGTAATAAGAGGTGGCGCTAGCAAAAAATTCGTTTTAAATCAAAGCTTTGCAGCTAAAATGAGAATCAAATCACCTGTGTGTCACCTGCTCGCCCATATAAACCACCTGGCCATCATCCATTTTGCCAATGGCCAGCTCGATCGCCGTGCTGTTCAGATTAAACGCGTCCAAACCCTTCAAGCAGCTGCTACTGCTTCTGATGGCCTTCCAGCTGCAGGGAATGGAGGGAAAATTCCTGGGCAGGCCAATTGACTCCGCATAGAAGAGCACGGCGCGATTGTGACTGCAGCTGTCTGCAAGATTTAGATTAGACATAGCCATGAGTGAGCCGCCTTCAGGCACTCACAAGCCTCCAAGATGAGCTTACTGGCCGCCAGCAGATCCACCTCCTCGCAGCCCGGCTGCGGTGCGCGACCAAAGTTGACATAGAAGTCGGCAGTGCCACGCGGCGTCAGATCCCCAAAGAGCGGGTAATCGGTGTGTATGACGTCCACAAACAGAGCAGCACTCGCCCGCAGGCCGTCATCGGAGCGCGGCGTGAAGAGCGGCAGAGCTGGATCCAGGCCCGTAACCCGGCCCACGGTTCCATTGAAATAGCGCCCGATGCGGCCGGCAATGTGGGCGCCTAGGCTGTGGCCCACGATGTGCACAGCCTCCTGGGACACATTGTGCCGCTCCAGAAACTGCTCCAACTGCTTGGCCAGCACCAGAGCCACCCTGCCCAGGGCACGTCGCGAGCTGGGATAGTCCAAATTGGCAGCGGGCGACCAATCGGCAATCAGCACATGCTCAAAGCCCTGCGCCTGGTAGGCTGACGAGAAGGGCATTAGCACAGCACCCAGTAGAGAGCTCAAGGATCAGGCTTACCATTGCGCAGCGGCATGATGGAGATGTGACTGCGCGATCCCAAGAAGCCGTGCACGATCAGCTTGAGCGAGTCTACGTTCGAGAGCTGCTCCACACGCTCCAGGCTCAGCTCAGAGGGCACATGCTGATAGTAGATGCTGCTCTGCTGGGCCAGCGTATCCAGGCTGGCCGCCTGCAGGCTCCACAGCTGGCAGAGGAAAAGCAGCCAGCAACAAAACATTCCAGACATGTTGCTGCTCCGATCTGATCTGAGCTGAGCTGGACTCAAGGCAGAGCCTAAATAGGGCTTGGATCGCATGCTGCAGCTGTGGGAGCTGCGTTTAGCTAATCGCTCGATTAGTCGAGTCGAGGTGACGCACAACGGGACAAGTGGACGAGAGTACACGACACATTTATTAACTAGGGTAATTTTCCATAAATACACAGTGCTGAGCAGACGTATACGCACACACGCAACGGCTCGAACTTAAAGGGCTACGAGTTAAAATGCAAGGCGCACGCACAGCAGAGATATTGGGATTAGAGTATGCGGAGCTAGGCATGGCTTCCCTGACGTTTACAAGATTGGGATTGGAGTATACAGAACATGGCATTGGCATCCCTGACGTATGGCAGTTGTTGGGGCCAGTTGGGCCGCGCTCGTTGGCTTAACGGCGGGCCTCGTCTTGCCCGGCAACAGGGCGTATGAGCATTTTAACGCGGCGCAGCGAGTAGTCCTTGCCCTGGAAGGTGTCCCAGTAGATGCCCGTCTCGCCGGCCTGCTCGTGGCCCTGGGCGTGGTAGACGCCCATCAGATTGCTGGTGCCGCACGCGTTGAACCAGCCGCCGGCCTTGTGTCGCTGCGCACAGCTGCACTCGAGACAGTTATCGTTATCGTTATCGAACGTGCTGAACTTGGCGCCAGCGTGATACGAGAGCGAGTCGCCAGCCGGGGGCTGCACCTGCGCCTGGTAGTTGCCCAGCAGGCTGAGCGCGTAGAGCTCCCGCTCGCCGCTGATGGCAAACGAGTCATAGCCGGCGATGGCCACATTGCCATCGAAGTCCTGCAGCCAGATGCGCAGCTCGTGCAGCGCAGAGCTGGTCAGCGCGTGCAGCTTGTCCAGCCCGATGAAGAAGTCGCCGGCCAGATTGCCGAAGCCCTCCTTGTACTCCAGCCAGCTTCGCTCGAAGCTGATGTCGTCCGAGGAGCGATTCATGATCACCGTCCAGCCGTCGTCCTCGCAGGGCACATAGAAGCTCTCGCTCTCGGGGGTCAGCTGCAGCTTCAGGATGCCATTGACAGCCAAATAGGATTGCAGGCAGCTCGTCGCATGCTCTTCCACAGCAGCCGCGGGCGCAAAGGCTGTTGGCAGCTGGGCGGACTGCGGCTTGTTCCGATTAGCCAGGCGCCGTTTGATGTTGCTGTGCGAGAAATTTGTGAGTTGGGATTGAGCCTGGCTGGAGTTTGATTCGGTTCAGCTTACTTGGTGTTCTGGACTATTTTGCCCACGTTCAGCTGCGTCTCGCGCACATTGTAGGCCAGCGAGACTAGGAATGTGGCCAGGGCGTCCAGGCGACTGGAGACATCAAGCTGGGAGGCATTGAAGGGGCTGCCCGTTGCCGCGGGCTGGTTGCCGAACAGGTTGGCCATGTTGGTGGCCACGTATGACTGCTCCTCGGGCGTCGCACGCACCTGACGTGAAAGATCTGTGAAATGGTTGGAGCAGAGTTAATTGCGGGTCTTCACAGCGAGCGCAGAGCCAAGCAGCACAACAACACACAACAAACAACAAAGCGACATCAATCAAACGGAAGCGGAAACTCGAGTCTGTGTTGCTTTTTACCCCGCAATTTGTCGCGATTCTTTTGCTTCTGGCTCAGCTGTCTGGCCACACGGGATCCCAGATATTTGTCGGTTTCACCTTTCAGCTCGTCCAGTGTGTGCCGCGTCAATCGCTGGATGTGCTCGAAGCTGTCCAGACGCTGCCCGAAGTTCAGCTGTTGCGCTTTCAGCGACTCCATGCGGCCCGTATTGCTGTCCAGCAGCTGATCGACCCTGTGCGAGACAAACAAGTGGTATGTATTATATGAGAAACTAGCTGATCAAATTTGTATCTTCTAATTATATGCATTATTTTCCCCTATGGAATTTATGCCGTCCTACCCTAAACCCCCATTTCTACTGAGCAAAGTGGTTTTTCCCCAATCAAGTTTAAAAAATAATTGCAAATAATACTTTTGCTAGATTTTCTTTTAAATTTAAAGATTTTCAAAATAGGATTGAAGCAATTGAAATCGACCATTCACTCTTATTTTCCATTCAGAGGGTTGAATTTTCCAAAAAGTTTAACACATTTCTAAATGAATTTTCAGAAGATTCGTTGAAAACTTATTTGATGCCGGAATAATAAACAAAATGATCTCATACGATCGTTTTTTTCCGTTGTGGGTGGAATTTGTAAAGGCCCTGTCTTAGCGTACAATTAAATTGCATAAGATTATGCGTTGATTATCAATCAGTCAGTCAATCAGTCAGCCAATCAGTCAATCAGCAGATACAGTTTAGTATATTTAGATGCAATTAAATCTCATATGATAACTAATGTAAGCACTTAAGTCTCCCACTTCTTATGGTTAATCATCAATCAGTCAGTCAGTCAATCAGAAATATTTGTAAGCTGTCTTTAGCTTCCCACCTTTATGGTTTTCAACTATGCGTTGATCATCAATCAGTCATTCAATCAATCAGCACAGTTTTATTCATGTGTTTTATAGATGTGGCATTTAGTATATATTTGAATATTAACCAAGGTTTCTTACCGTGAAATATCAGAGAAACAAATTGTTGGATAATTAAAATTGAGTTTCTCTTATAAAGCACCGCAAGAAATCCAAATAAACAAAAGTCAAAATATTCAAATATATTATTCATCATATTAAATACTATCTATATAAATTCGCATTGACTTGCTTGTGCCTTGCTTGGCTTTTGTCTGTTTTTTAATATGTGTATGTTATATTATTAAACAAATAATATATGTAGACACATATTATCTATATAGAATAGCGTAGAATCGAACAGAGAATTTAGCTAGCATTTAATTCAATTTTAATTTCATAATCTACGACCAAACAAGCTGTAAAATTGTCAATGTAAAGCGGCTCACATTTGCAGATAATGTGCATATATATTCGCAACTGAACGGCATGATATCATCGCACTTCAGATCGATCAGACAATATATATGGCTGACCTCTTTATATAGTACATGACTCAATGCGGGCGCAAACATTATGCCAATTTATCAGCATTCAATATACACTTAGAGCCCAGTTAACGCCTCGTGCACACATCTTTGTGACGTATTTCCAATTCTGGCAAGATAATTAAGTGTGCGTTTAATTTATACACAAATGCCAAAATGTGCTATCAACCCGTTTCTACACATAAGATTTATGCTGTTTCGGGTAAACAAATGTGAATTCGGATAATTTGTTGAGTGAAACGAAAGCAGCTACAAATTGCAAATCCATAAACTGGTAAAAAGGTGTGCGAAATGTTTGCCGAAGCTAAATAAATAAAATACAACAGCAAAGCAGACAATAGCGTCATAAATTGTCCCGACAAGTGTGTGCTCTGCTGTATGTGTGTGTGTGTATCTCAAAGATACTTTTGCCGCACTCACGTATAATTACGCGTTGCTCAATGGCCAATTGGCATGGCGCATCTCCGCATAATCAATGTGGCATTGTAAGCGACGGGCTTGACAGGGCCCGAAAAACTAAACAAAATGCCAAAAAACATATATTTCGATGTTGTTTTTGTGTGTTTTACCGGTTTTCCCAAATGCCTTGTGTGCTAAAAAACCTGTTCAGCGAGATGGCACACGTTCCATTGTCTGCTCAAAGTTGTTGTCAACCTTTTCTCAAAATCTATCCACTCACTTCTTATCGATCACTTCCAGACGATGGCGCTGGTCCTCGTCCAAGGTCGCCAAGATGCCAACGCGGTCGTGTAAGTTCGTCATCAGCTCCTTGATTTCGTTATGCTGTGGGGGCGCAGTCACAGGAGCAGGAGCAGGCGTGCCATAATGCTGCAGAAGGTAAAGTATATATACATATAGTAAGATAATACTTCAACAGCAACAACAACACGCGACGAGGCCCGTTGAACCCAACAGAAATTCAAACTAATTCCGCAAACAATTCAATTTCGCATACACTCGTAATTTCTTTAGATTTTTGTTCTCCTTATATCTCAAGTTATTTTAACGTACTCGGAAGTTGCCGCGCGTATGCGATCTCCAATGATTGTGAGAGTCTGGGGCTGCGACGCCAGCCCCAACTGGTGCTTGGGTGGGGTTTTGTGCCAGCACCATGTAATTCACACAGAACAGCGCCAAGAGCAGGCGAAAAGGGGGCGTGGCCATGTTGTGCACACGATAATATTTAGGAATATCAAAAAAAATTTAAACACACGGCACACACACGCAGATCACGTCTGGCAGCTCGTCAGTTTCTATCTATCGGATCGATGCGACTGTTCGACTCGAGATTCACGCAGCGACTGAGTGCCAAGCGAGCAGAGCTTGGCGAGGGAGCTTTCCGCGACAGAAACTGAGAGAATCTACATGTTAAATGTTGCTCTCTTACACATTCTCTCTCTCTCCCTCTCTTTCTCTCTCTCTCGCTCTGTCTTGCTGTGTTTGGCGGTTTCTTTTGTTTATATGGCTTGCTGCCTTGGCTATTCAGAAAATTCCCCGGCTCCCCGACGCTGTCAATCACTCACGACTTTGTTGGAAGTGATAAGCAAATGTGTCTTAAGGCCGGACTTGAATTACTCATTTTATTTTGAATTATTTATATTTCTTAATATTTTACAATAGTATAACTTATTTATTGGCATTATTTCAACAAGAACTTGTATTACTCAGCGTGCTACCAACTATTCGTAATCGTAGCAGCATGCCTTTAATGTACTTCTTTATTTTCATCTTAAGCCTTTCAGCTGGTTTTAAAACCTACACGCGATTCAGACTGCATATCATAAATATAAGATGTCAAAATGAGTACAGAGTCATCCAATTACGTATGCGAAACCTGCCTCAATATTTGCGTCACATACAACTGATCTACAACTATATATATTGTATATACATATACCCAGTAGTCTGAGCTTCCCTTGGGCCTTACTGTTTACTCTCTTGTGACTTGAATTGCAATCAATTAATTGTGATTATTGATCTTGGTATATCATTCCCAAATAAGACATTATTTACCCAAATATTCAAAAATGTCACCAAAAGGTTTTGATTTTCGAACTGACCCCG